GCGTTACAGTGATCTAATCTTGAGATTACGAGCGCATGCACCAAGGTAGTGAGCGCCCCCATGTCGGGATAGGGTTGCAGCCGGGCAATCCACCAAAGATGGAAAAATGCGGTGCAGAGTACCGACGCCACCTGAGTTTCCATGGTGAGCGTCGGGTCCAAATATATGCCTCGGCTGCAGACCCCACTCTTCGCGGCCAAGGTGGCCCACCCACCTGTGAGAGAGCCACCCAAGCCACCTACCACGGGGGCACCCACCCTCAGAACTTCCGTCTTATCCGGGTTCAGCCTCAGCCCGTTCTCCTGCATCCATTGCAGTACGGCCCCCAGGCAACGCTGAAGGGAAAGGAAAGCATCACCTGCAGTCCTTAAGCTCGATTCGGTTTTATAATGATGATGGAATCAACTTGCAACACATTTGTTTTAATAATCAAAAAACCCATTACAATTATTTAAAACAACCCTCCAAAAAGTAAATAACATGAACCGTTAATTATACTCAACCTACTGATGCTATTGCTATTAAAAATCTTAATGAATTAAGAAAGGTGCACCCATTTTTATCAAATCATTTCCAAGCTTTGAAAGGAAAAATGGGTTTTCCAATGCTCCAACAAAAGCAGATATGCCATCAGCTTGATGTATTCCATTGCCAGACCTGAGAATTGTTTCCCAATGGACCTCCATCTTGTTAGGATTCAGTCAAAGTTTATTAGTCCACATCTAACCGTTCACTACCTCCAGGAATCAATTAAGCCCCTGCACTGCCTCGCTTCACTCATAGAAGAGAAAAAGAATAATATTCCTAACAGATCAGCCCCTAGCTACTGATCTTGCCTGACTGTTTAGAATAGAATAGAATAGAATTTATTTATTACGGTCACACTTTGCCCAGGTCTGATATAGTCATGCCCGGCTGGACGATTACCCAGTTTAACGATGAATCTGCTTAACGTTGACGTTTTTGCGATCGCTTTTGCGATTGCAAAACGATGGTTTAAATGGGGTTTTTTCGCTGTGTGATGATCGGTTTCCTGCTTCAGGAACCGATTTTCGCTTTACAACGATCAGCAAACAGCTGATCTCCGGGTTTCAAAATGGCAACTGGCTGAAGAAAATGGCCCCCCACTGTTTTTAGGAATGATTTTTCGCACTACAGGCACCAAAAATGGCTGCCCCTATGGAGGATCTTCACTGGATGAGCAGATATTCAGCCCATCGGAATGCATTGAACGGTTTTCAATGCGTTTCAATGGGTTTTTATATTTTGTTTGACAACATTTTCACTGTACGGTGATTTCGCTGGAACGAATTACCGTCGTCAAGCGAGGCACCACTGTATAAACAATTCACAAAACATACCATGTGGCCAAAATACACAAAATGCAGTTCAAAATGTATAGCCAATCCATAAAACACACTAAATGGTCAAAACACACAAAATGCAATTTAAAAAGTGCACAACAGGCAATCAACCGTGCACTGATTGTAAAACACGGGGAGAATAAAACACAGCACCTCTACAGCTATCCCCCGGGCCATTGTCCCTTCAGTTGGGACCATAACACCTCCCCATGCTAGACAATAAACTTCCATCTTGTTAGGATTTAGTCAAAGTTTATTAGTCCACATCCAACTGTTCACTACCTCGAGGAATCAATTAAGCCCCTGCACTGCCCAGCTTCACTCATATAAGAGAATAGGTGCGAACCTGCTGAATCCCACCTCTGAAATCAGCCCCCCAGCTACTGATCTCTCCTGACTGTTTGGAGAAAATAGTGAAGAAAGGAGCTAAACCAATTCTCCCTTTTCTCCATTCCAATAGCTGGTTAGTGCAACCACAGCTTGTCTAACAAAGTTATGTACCTGCAACCCCAATGACCACATTGGTTGGTGGAATCATACAAAATGCACCAAATGCATGATTCTCCCTAGCTGAAAATAGCCTTTAGCAGAATTGGGCCAGGAAGCGGGGTCTACTTGCTATGATGAGGAGATACATTTCAAAATTTAGAATGCAAAACATTTTGTACACATAAAAATCTCAGTACAATGATGCCTAATAGTAAAAGTAGCAAGAACAATTTATAATGGTGTACAAATTAACTTATAAGTAAATTTGGAACTATATTCAAGCAATAAATTGGAGCCTATATTCAGCCTATATTCAACCTACAAATATTATATTGCATGATCCCACTTAAACTTTGCAAACACCAGTATTTCTATATTTCATTGTTTTGACTTATTATAACAAAGACACAAAACTGCATCCTGAAAATCACAGTAATGGGAAATATTTAAAGTGAGATAGTGAAACACAGATATGTATAATCAACTGAACACAACACTAATTCAACAAAAAGCAATAATATGGTGACATTATTTGTTCTCTGGTTGCAATACTTTCGTTCTCTGGTTGCAATACTACTGTCATGAATTGTGCTTTTGTTAAAGAGTAAGGATTAAAGAAAATCTAGAAAAAGAAGCCTAAATGCAACACCTGCCTTGTCACAGAAAAGATGTTCATTTTCCAGCAGAAGAAACAAAAACCCTTGAATCCCTGTAGTTTTTCAGATGGTGTCTTTAAAATTTTATGGAGAGTTTTCAAATGAAATTAACTTTAGAAACTGAAAATTATTTAGAATACTAAAATCGTGACACTGAAAATTACTATTAGAGATGGGATAACACTGGCCAGTTTCTCAATCCCATTGTCTAAGTCAACAGCACCATCTGGAGGCATCTCTATAGTATAGCTAAGGCTTGCTAAGAATTATTTCAGAAAAAAAGTGTTATTCACATTCTTTGAATTCCTCTATTCATGACAAAATTCCAGCCAGCATTAGAGGGAGAAGTGAAAGTTGTGGGCAGTTTCTCAATTGGCAATACACAGATACTCAAAAAAAAAATTCCTTAATTTAACAGAAATGATACATCACTTCAGCGATGATCTAGGTGACTGTAAGAAAAAATAATCTGACTTTCCATGACTGTCCACAGACAATCAAGGGAACTATTCAATTTCCAGTGTTCTGAAGCAGCTCACAAAACACTTTAGGGGATTGGAAACTGACAGTGGAAGGAGCTAATTAATCTTTTCCAGGCGACCACACTTGCTGGAAACAGACTTTACTCAAGCCTTCCAACCTGTCCCAAAACAGCAGAAACCAGGGGTTCAAAAAAGGTGTGGGACAGCTCTTAAAGAGGAAGGATGGATCAATCTAAAGCAGAGGTGGGCAAAATGCGGCCCTCCAGATGTTGCTGAACTGCAACTCCCATAATTCCTAGCCCACACAGCCAACAGTGAGGAGATTTGGGCCTAGCCCACACAGCCAATAGTGTGAGGAGAGTTGGGCCTAGCCCATACAGTGAGGAATGTTGAAATTTGCAGTTCAGGAACATCTGGAGGGCCGCACTTTGCCCAGGTCTGATCTAAAGGGTTGCACATGTGAACGCTGTAATTTGGCTCATTCCAAACTGTGACAAAAGTGATTCATATACCAGTCTACATGGTGGGCAGCGTGGACAGCTTCAAAGATTTTATGTAAAGACATTATCCGTAGTTGCCAAAATGCCTGATGGCTTGGCTGAGCTGACATTAACACAATTAAGGACATGCTGAATTCAAACCCTTTCCAGCCCAGGAGTATGAGAAACTGTTTAGTTCTAGCTTGACTCTGACCACATTTACTGTCAGCCTCGTGACTCTGCATCTTGGCTGAGAGAGATTTTAGTTGGCTGTGCCTCTTTTGACCTTTTTTTGCTCTTCTCAGCTGATGCAGAAGTTGTGCCAGCAGATCTGTGATCAATCACAGTTGAGATATATTCTTCTAAGACATACATGAGATGGAATATGGCCAGGAGAGGGTGATCAAGATACTAAAAGGTCTGAAAATCAACCCCTGTGAAGAACAATTGAGAGTGAAATGGTATGTTTATGCA